CGCCCCCACCCATAAACAGTACACAAGCGGCCACCAAAAAGTAGTTACATCACGGGCAGCCTACGGGAACGGGTTTGCCCGAACACAAAACCCTACCAGTAGGTACGGCGCCAAGAAACCGTACAGGTACCAACGCCCTCTCCAACGGCCAATTGATCTGGTCTGTCGGGCCCGAGGTACGGAGCCAACGGCCTGGATTGACGCGTGATCTTAAAATCTTAAGACCGTGCGTCTTACCTTTGGTTTGCTTTACCATCAGTACATTTGGACTGTCGTTCCTACATTGGTGCCTATCATCCTTTGTTAAATTCGCATAGGCCATCATGACGCCAATCAATTAATTAATTAACTAATTAATAACTGGTCTTTTCTCTCTGAAGCGTTCGAATTCAATTGCAACACCGAATGTCCCGATCGGTCTACATCTCTCGACTTATACAGTAAGAGTGCCGGGCGCTAAGGTGTGAGAGACTTAATTAGGGAATGCTCAATTTCTGTACCAGCTTCGTGGATGTACCTGGTCGCACTGACGCTCAGATTCCACGAAGTCCTCATTGTGTAAGTCGGCGCCTGACTATACTCGACATTCGCTAGCTTTCTTCTGTTCTTCTTGATCACAAATATGCATCAGAAAACCGTACCTGTTATATCAATCCATTGGTCCGGGATCGAAGCCGTGAGTTCCTGAGTCCTTGCATCGACTGGATGAATTGTAGATCCTGAGATATGTCAGGTATACACTCTATTTTATTTATTTATTTATTTATATTTTACTTATTTTCTTTTTTTGGGGGGGAAGGGGGAGGCAGGGGGGGTATTCCTAGAATTGACAACTCTGCCTAAACGATGTTTTGCTCAAGGAAAAAGGAAGAAGCTTTCTCTTGAGATGCTTTGCATGAGGTCAGGGAGATCAGTGCCTCTGGGTCAGCTTCTTTCCGTCTGTGAGATAAAAATGCGGCCCAGTGGCAGCCGTAAGATGTCACATCTGATGTTCTCTGCTGAACAACCCTCCCTCGTCCATGCAGAAAACACACACCCACACCCACACCCCCACCCACACACGCACACATGCACACACGCACCACCCACACCCACCCACACCCACCCACACAGAGGATTGTACGAGGAAAAGTCAAGATGACGGTTTTAGTGTGCTTTATGTTCAGTACTTGTACAGTCAATCCCCAGTGTCTCTGGCACGCAATGCTGGCAGGTTTACACAGCAAAATTTGGTCCGGAGTGTGTTATGGGACGCTGGGCCCACTTTTCAGCAAAAAACTATTGAACAGGGACGCTGGACCCGGTTTCCAGCAGGTACAGCTCCCCGCGAATAGATGGAGCGACAGGTACAGCTACTAGAGACGGCTGCTCTTTCTAGTAGAGATCGCAGGTTTCATAAAAAAAACAGAAAAAAAAAGTGTGCTTTATGTTGTTTGGTACAGAGGCAAAGCTGTTCGAATTTTGGCTCTGCTCATCTTAGTGTGCTTTATGTTGTTTGATATTGAGGTGCAGCTGTTCATCCGGGTGCAAAAAGGGTTGTTGTGGTGACATTTCACAAACACACGCACACACACACGAACTAGCTGTGACAGACTACTAGTTGCTCAGACTAATTGCCATTCTTGTTTGGATCGACAGTCTGCTTGGATTGCAGGCATGGGTTTGTGTGAATGAAGACGACCACATTTCTCTCTCAAGGGTATCGCTAACTCTGGGAAATGTGGTGAGTCAGGATCCATCAGACAAATGCATCCTGCTGGGTAGACCATCGGGGTTCAACCTCCTGATGAGTCGGTGAAAGTCCGATGAAACAGTCTGGCACAGTCATGCTTTTCTTGTGGAGTTTTGTATAGCGAACATGACAAGACACACACACACACACACACACAATCACGCGCGTGCGCGCCAACGGCCTTGATTGACGCGTGGTCTTAAGATCTTAAGATCGTACGCCAATACGGCCCATGAATCAGGTAGGACCCGCTGGCCTGGATTTCAGATTTATTACATGCTTCCAGCGATCCAAGCTGTGGGCCAGTAGGACTGAAGACGGTCTGCATCAGACATTGGTTCCCTTAGCAATTTTAATAGTGTAGGCACTGTAGGGACAAAAGTTTGCCTGGGCTATGCCTTCATGATCCTCATGACACAAAGCATGCGCAACACTTGCTAGCAAGTTTCTTGGGTTTCATTATCCCCTCTCAATGGGAAGGCGACGATGAGGGCTTATCCAAAGCAATGGTGTTTAGCTGTTGCAATATTTGGTCTGCTACAGCTCGCCCTGCTGGTGATAACATTTTCCACCTCAGGTTGCCGTCTCTATTTTCCGCCTCAGGTTGCTGTGTCTGTTGTTCGTCCGGCAAGGATGATGGAGATTGGACTGTGTTTCGACAAGGGTGTGCCCAACAGCGCCTGTGCGACATGGTAGATTAGGACATCGGGGATGATGCTGGCATCGGGGATAGTCCACAGAGCAGAGACATACTTTGAATGACAGCTTCCTGGACACGTTGACAACACATGACATGTTGCTGACATGCCAGCAGGAAAGCAGGCTGCCATTGGGACTACTTAAGCATGGCATGTCAACAGGCCAAAGCGGCACACTGCGCAAGTACTAAGGGGGTCGCAGGGATGAGCGCAAGACAATGGTTTGCAGTTTTCGAGGTAGAGGCTGGTAGAGACCATCCCTTCACAGTGTTCGGTGCAGAGATTATGCTGTGTGCATGCTAACCGAACTGTAGCTGTGTGGAGATATAAAGGCGTGACACAGACACCATCCTCTGGACGGGCTCTTTCACTATCCGTGGTAGAATCTCTCCGATCTGCACAGGGAAGTGATGATACCTGGCCATCTACAGTGGAGGGCGGAGGTTCAGCCAGATTGTTCTTCAGATGCTGTAGACATCGCAATTGCACATCCGCATTTTGTTCCTGATTGACCGGCCAGACCGAGTGCGGCGAGTGGGAATCTTCCACTCGATAATAAAAGGAGTACATATTTCCCACCGTGTGCACCCAGCTGCCATTGTGCCATAGGGTCCATGGATTATCCGCTGGTAACAGCACTGAAATGACCAGGACGATGCAAGATGTAGACATGGAGATTCGAGTCCATGTCTGGCATGGATTCTGTGGAGAGGGTTTGGGTCGCAGTAGTCTTCCAGTAGATGCCATAGACAGGACTTTTATGTTCATGCCAGGTGCAGTACTGTACTCCTCTGGGCAGACAGCAGGGTGCTCATTTCGTATTTATCAATGGCATAGTACGCACAGTGTCCTCGATGTAGCAGTATGAGATCATTTGATCTGCAGACTCTGCGGCAGGGGGAGGTTCGTTTAATTCTGCAGAAGAGGGAAGGTCCATTCCTGTCTTGACAATTTCTATTCAGCTCTTCTGGCTGTATCTCCAGATGGGGGTTCCATCAAAAGATCAGAGGGTGGAAAATTGTCAGGTGGAGCAGGGGAGCAACGGGGGCTAGGCGGACGAGAAGTTTGGAGGGTCGGGTGAAAGAAGTGGAAGCTGATCAGCCGCACTTGTGCTGATAGTGGCAGTTAATCGTGCAAATGCTACACAGGTGGCTGCTCCTCATGTCTTCCACAAATGCAGGCCTGCAGCACAGTAAAAATCAGACTCAGAATGTATAGTTCCTGACTAGTGTATGATGGAAGCAATGATATTGTTCGGTACGGTTGGCAACATCGTGTCGAAGTAGATCTCTGACACTCACCGGTGCAATGATCATTCTGTTCAAGTACAAAAGAGGCCGCCCTCCAGGAGGTGGTGGTGGAAAAGAGGATTGTCTCCGGGGAGGAGGCCCTCTGTGAGGGCCAATCTGATCATAAATGCCTCAGCCGACAAGATCTACCCATGAATGTCTTGCTGACGAGGACAATGACAAAGGTAGAGGAGGAGGAGGAAGAAGAGGACGCAGTTAACAGAGGGGATGATGTACAAGAAGATGTAGGTGGTGGAGCTGTGGTGATGATGGCGGTGGTGGTGATGATGGTGATGGTGGTGCTGATGGAGCAGCTGCGTGTGTGGGTTTGAGTGCATGTGTACATGTGTATGCACTTGGGCGTGAACTTCAGGGAATGTCGTTTGGGCAGGGAGCTCAAGTTCCTGTGCATGGCATAATAAATATCCCATTCGTTCAGGCGAGGGTTCAGCTGGCCATGTTGGTATGGTAACTGTGGGCAGTCCTCACCATGTAAAACAAGTGCAGTCCGCCCATGCAGTTTCAAGGTCAGGAGCCATGGGAGTCGCCCATTCCACCGGAGTCACCAACTCCATGGTGCTGTGGACCCAGTGGATCCGATCCATCCTCATCTTAAACAATGCACAGAGAGGGCTCTGTCCGGCTCCACAGGACAGATGAGTCCTGCATTTGATAGGGTGCACGGAACTTGCGGTTATCAATTTCGATGGAGCAGAATAGAATTGACTTTCAGTTGACAACTTCCACAGAAAGTAAAAGACAAAGGACCTGAAAGTCTGTAAGACTACGTATCATCGTACTGTCATGAACAATACGTGGATGCGCCACATGTGACTGGCCTGCATTTCAGGTACACACATAACCACATTTCTTATTGAGGGAGGATCAGCCATGCCTCACAGCTACGAAACAGTTCAAGACATGCAGAAGATCAAATGAACTCGGCCAAGAAGAGAGACAGACAGCACAGGACAAACTGCTTGAACTTAGATTCTTTACTTACCATAAATGTTGCCGTTATCATCTTTCCAGCAAACCATCGCCCATGCAATGCCCTCTGAGCATTCGATGCAGCGGCCACAGTATCAAATCGAATATAAACATGACCAACACTGTTCCTGCAATCCATAGACGACAAGTTTGACACACACAATTAACCTCAACACAAACAAACGTGGACCACAGCACCTCACCGCAGTGCAAAGCTCTGCAACTCCAGATGTAAGCCGCCCATTCATAAACAGCCAAATACCAAGCAACAAATCTTCAGCATAGTATGATGGACGGTTCAACGCGCCGAACACAACAGGCCACTACACTCCCATTCATTACTACAGACTCGCGGCGAAGTGTTTATGCAAGATTGAACAGAATAAACATCGATACACTGACGACCCCTGTTATGAGAGTTCTGAGGGCCTAAGCAGCTGGGGTGAAAGACTTCCAACAACTCCGCAAGCGAAGGTCTTACAACAAAAAAAAGGACTTCTGTGGGAGTTGTCCAGCACTGAAGAGGCTCCTCGTAGGCATAATTGGAAAAACAAAAATCAGTGATATGTATAGAAGTGATGATCATTTCGCTCGAGTACTACTGTTATTGCACACAGCGCAACGTCCGTGCATGCTGCGGTGTATATTCAGTGCCAGGTCAAGTGGGATGACATCACAGTGAGGACGGGAGCGGAGGACAGAATACTTCCCGCGAGAGAGGAAACTTTCTTCATCACACCGGCGAGCGAATGCCATCCAGAATATGTGGATAAACAACACATGCTATACAGATCCTTCAGAATCAGTTTCATCCTTATGGTTCGACACTAATGGGATATATACACAGAGAGAATAGCCATGGATTTAAACAGTTAATGGCTTCTCAACTTCTCTGAAAATAGCCGTCAACCACTGTCCACATCCTTCCCACAGATACTTGGCCATGACCAGAATCCAGGAGTATACTTTATTCCAAAAAACAATGACGAGTACTCGTTGTACCACCTCACTGCCACCACATGATGACATTGTAATTTCCCCAAATTGCCTTACAACAAAAATTGAATCCCCCTCAGTGCAAGTGAGTCACCAAATGATAGAAACTACTCAATGCCATTATACCACCCTCAGATGAAGGACAGTAAGCAAGTCTTGAAGTGGGGCCAACATTTGTCTGCCTTGCTTGGCATCCCTCAGGTGCGCAGAACGAGATGTCGCATTACCAACGAACCCCTGATTACGCATGACTGTCTGCACATACAGGAGCAATTGTGTAAACAACCTTGAACACCACTGCGCTCACAAAATAGCCTACATAATTCCCTGTGCAGACAGCCACCTGGATAAGTACTACGAGTTTCACAAGTTTTACTATATTCATCAAAAGCAGACTGCAATCATTACCCGAATATAAAGCACGGGCATTATTATATTCAACTTACCCTTAAAAAGTAAGTTTTTTGGGGTCCTTTTCATTAAAATATGTCTGTTTAAATAGAGCACCCTTTCAAATAGGGCGCCCAATGCCGCCCAGTCGAAAAGCATTAATGGTTAACTGAGACCCATAACTTCCAGGTCCTGCCCAACGGGCCCAAAACTGGAATTAGGGTTTGGGGGTCAAATTTTGTGTTTTTTTTATTTTTGGCCTGTTTTAGTTTTAGGTCAAGGTGGCTGTGTGCCAAATTTGGTGTCTTTTCGACTGTTCTAAATTCCTCTGTTGACATTTCTGAAATACCTGAAAAATTCTGAAATTTCGGTGGGGCACTCTTGCATTAAAGTGCACCTTTGCCTTGCCCTTTTATGCTGTTTTTGTTCTTTTTTCTTTTTTTCTGTTAGTAAGTATGTTGTGCACTCTTGTGTATGAGTGACAAGTTTTATTGAGAAGGCCTTTAGGTTTTCATTTAAATGGCATGAGAAATTTCTGAAAATCCAGGCCTCCGTTAACTTTCTCTCTCAAAAACAGCACAGGATATTTTCATGCAGGGACTCTGTTGCCAACAATCTGGAAAAGTGCAGTCTTTCTTGTGTTTGCACCCCTTCCAGTGCCCTGCAACCCCAGCACCTTTCTCTCCCTTCAAAAATAATTTGCCTCCTAGACTACAGCTGAAACGGATTCCACCTTTCACAGTAGCCGACGCAGATCCCAGGGCTCAATCCCTAGTACTCACTTCACCTGTGTACAGTATCTGAGTCGACCCTGCGAGTTGAACCCGTAACTTGTGTATTCGCAGTAGTTGGTAGGCTGTCGTAGGTCCATGGGTCGTAGGTGTTCAATCTGTAGACCTGTCGTTTGTAGGTCTTAGCAGGTCCTAGGAGTCGTAGACTTGGCCTTTCGGTACCGTAGCAGCTACGACCTTGACCTTTCAGGACTACAGCAGTGACGACTTTGACCCTCAGGGGCTACAGCTACGACTCCTGGGACCTGCTAAGACCTACAAACGACAGGTCTACAAATCGAACCCCTACAACCTACAACAGCCTACCAACTAAAGTCATGGGTTCAACTCTCAGGGTCAACTCAGATACTGTACACAGGTGAAGTGAGGACTAGGGATCGAGCCCTGGGATCTGCATCGGCTACTGCGAAAGGTGGAATCCGTTTCACTCCCGCCGGCCTAAATTTGGGATCGTCCGAGAATATTTCAGTCCAAGGCAGGACCTTTACCTTTCTTGACTCTCTCATAGGCGCGAACTATATCGGGAGTGGACTCTAGAAGTTCTGTTTGTGTGTACCAGCGGTCTTCTTCCGGTTCTTGATACGCAAATCGAACCTTGTACTGTTTCTGAGGACGACCTCTACCTCCTGTTCTGAAGACATCTTCACCTACAACGCCCTCAACGTCGTATCTTCCATCCATGTCCGGGGGGATCATGGATCTTCTTGATGTAAGATATGACAATGAGGGCATTGTAGGTGAAGATGTCTTCAGAACAGGAGGTAGAGGTCGTCCTCAGAAACAGTACAAGGTTCGATTTGCGTATCAAGAACCGGAAGACGACCGCTGGTACACACGAACAGAACATCTAGAGTCCGCTCCCGATATAGTTCACGCCGATGAGAGAGACAAGAAAGGTAAAGGTCCTACCTTGGACTGAAATATTCTCGAACGACCCCAAAGTTAGGCCCGCGGGAGTAAAACGGATTCCACCTTTTGTAGTAGCCGATGCAGATCCCAGGGCTCGATCCCTAGTCCTCACTTCACCTGTGTACAGTATCTGAGTCGACCCTGAGAGTTGAACCTGTGACTTGCGTATTTGCAGTGGTTGGTAGGCTGTCGTAGGTCCGAAGGTTGTAGGGGTTCGATCTGTAGACCTGTCATTTGTAGGTCTTAGCAGGTCCTAGGAGTCGTAGCTGTAGCCCCTCCAAAGGGTCAAAGTCGTAACTGCTGTAGTCCTGAAAGGTCAAGGTCGTAGCTGCTGCAATATCGAAAGGCCAAGTCTACGGACTTCCGGAAGGTCCGGAAGTGGCCTTTCGGAGCTTGCTCACGTTTAGACAGAGGCAAGTGGGCACGTGGCGAGGCCAACTGCAGTACGTCAGCAGTGCGACTGCGGTGAGTTGGCAATGCGTCCCCGTGCAGTCCGTGGTATCAGTCCCAGTCAGTCAAGGTCCAGTCAAGCAAGTACCGTGTGGGACTGTGTGCACCCAGGGCATGGGAAAGGGGCAGGCCAAGAAGCTACAGAAGTATAAAGCAAGAGGCAGCGACCAGTCATGCATTCATTCCTGTGTAAGCCATGCAGAAGCGCTGCTTGAGCGTCTTGTGCGAGTTGGTCTGCAGATGCGCCTCAAGTCGAAGCGGGCTGAAGGAGATAGAGTAGCCATAGCTGTAGGTAGTCACAGCGGCTAGCGCAGCCATAGCTGCAGGTGAGTGCAGTGTGTGTGTGTACGTGTATACTGAGTGTGTTGCGTGTGTGATATCCAGGGTGATCTAGAGTTTGGAATGCATGAACGGTGAATCGAGCACAGTAATGAACAAGAGTTATTGGTTGCTATTGCGCCATAGCTTATCTGAAGCGAACTGTTGTTCTTGGTTCCATATCTCTAAGTTCTGAGTTGGGCGCATATCGCCAATGTACTGTGTCGCCCGTTTGCATGCGTGCGAAGCAAGAAAGAAAGCGAGTCTGATTGCACAGCGCCCTTTCCAATAGGGTGCCCATTCAATACAGTACCATAGCTTCCTACTTGAACAGTCCGTTGCTGAGAATCTGGTGCAGCTCAGTCTTTTGTGTCAGAGCGCGCCCACCTTTGCGCCCGTCTAATTTCAACTTGCCACACCCCAATAGCAAACTTGCCACACCCCAACAACAAACACTTGGATTGTTGACGTGTATGTGTGTCGCCATTCGTGCGAGATACTGTATCTCTCTGAGGTGCTCACAATTTTCCCTTTGCCCCTTTGCCCTTATCGGGTTTTACCACGTTTTTTTTCACTGCAACCCTGCTGCATCCGGGAGCTGCCTTGGGTGGCTTGCGGCATGGGTATAATTACCTTCCGGTAGAATACATAGATACTTTACTCTTTTTATTTACCTCATTCCAATATCACCGGTACTCAACGAAGTTAATAATTGTGTCTTATTCAAATTTAAAGCATTGTGCGCCTCAAAAATCCATATAGACCAAATCCACACCTGAGCACGCCCTTACTATTTATCGAGCAGACATCCATGGCATGTTACAGCCCTGGCAAAGCAGCAACGCCCATTGTATTACTGAGCTCTGGTTGGCAATAGGCCAAAGCGAGAAGCATCAGCAAGTAAACCAGATGTGTGAAATCACGGAGCTCAAAAATTTTTGATGTGCTGGTGGAGTCCGAAGCCAAAAACAACTGCCATCTACAGCAGGCAGAAAAATGCACTTGGATAATTCACCAGCAAATGGCATTCACAAGCACTGACGTGTCATGGTCATGGCAGAATGCTTTACAGACCACCGGATTTGGTTATCATTTAAGGATGGCTTCAGAGTCCACAGGCCACTGTGGGCTTCTACAAGCTCCCACATGCAGTCTGAGACTCGTCATCATCCGTTCCACGCTTGGTTGGGCCATCCCTTCCAATTTCAATTAGTCCCCCCACAAGCACCCGCTTTGTGAACCATTGCACACAACCACGTTACTGCAGTGACAGCAGGATTGTCTGCTGAAAGGGATACTTTGTCCGCACTGAAGCCTGAGCACACTACCCTCCAACTCAGTCGATTGACCATTCAATGTCTTCTAGACCCTGCGACCGAGGGGCACAAGCCTGAAAGGGTCCAATGACGGTTTCTGGACTTTTTTTCACATTTGTGTGCAGTTCGTCAAGCTCCTACAATCTTTTACTTATAGAACTCAATACTCTGCAGGTCTTCAATTGTGGCCATAACAGTGATCTTTATACCATCAGGCCACTAGGAGACACGTGCGCACAGAGGGTACCTTGCATCTTACAGACCACTCGTCATTTTTGTGGGATAGATCAGGGTCCACCCCCAATATGCACTGAGAGAAATCCCTAACGCCATATAGATCGCCACCCAAGTCACGGACAAAACCACCCTCGGTTCCATGCTCTCTCTCTCTCTCTCTCTCTCTCTCTCTCTCTCTCTCCCACACACACACAATAAACAGGCGCATGTCACCTGAAACACCCACCAGGCAACCAGGCTGGGTACAACACAG